TGTAATAGGTGGAAGAGCAGCTGGTTGGTTTGGAGTGTGTTGGTAAAGCCATCTTGTTTTTTGTGAAGTTGACAATGTGTTCAAGTATTTCATACACTTCTCAGAAACAATCAGTGACTTGGAGCTCTTCAATTGGAGTGAGTACATGCAACACAGTCAGTGTACTACAGAACAGGAATGGAGGTATTAGTCATCTTGGATTTCGAATATAACTTGTTGATGTAAAAGAGATTCCTGTCCACATTATACCAGATACTGACTTCAGATAGACATCTATCAGCAATAAAATGTGGAATAGCTATGACTCAGATTGAAGAGAGTGTCGGTGCAATCGCACATCCTTGCATGATTAATTCTAAAAGGGACCCATTTCCAAACCATTATTTAGGATGGTTACTGTCATGTTTTCATGAAGAAGTCTGATAGCTAACAAATTCTGGCACATATCCTTATCTCACCAGGATCTTTCATAGGGCCTCTCTGTTGATTAAATCAAAGGCATTAGTCAAGTTAATGAAAGCCATGTAAAGATCTTGATGTTGCTCGCAGTACTTCTTCTGAAGCTGTCAAGCAACAAAGATCATATGTACTGTACCAATTAGTAGTCTGAAACCATGTTGTATCTCAGGTAGAATCTCCTCAGGGATGGAAGTGAGTCTGCTAAGGAGAATGTGGGCAAGGAGCTTCCCAGCAATAGACAGAAGTACAATACCATGATGAACTGCTGCAACCTGATGAGTCTTATTTCTTTAACAATTCTGGAATCCCCCAAGTCTCCAGAAGTCTATTCACATTTCCAGATCTTCATAATAACAATGATTGAGTGCTTTTTTTCCCACCCTTCACCATAAACCAGAGGCGTTCAATCTTTTTGCCCATGGGCCAGATGGACAGTGCCCTGTACATCCATCCAAATCCAGCTGGTGGACCTGATTTGGTTGTACAGTGGTGAGATAGTGTGGCCAGCTGTGCAGGGAGTGGGAGGGGGTGTGGCCCAGCCCTGATCTAGCTATAAGGGAGGGATGGCCTGGCCCTGATCCAGCTGCACAGTGAGGGGGCAGGAAAAGGGTCATGGCCTGGCACTGATACAGCTGTGTGGAGAAGAAGAAGCGGGCATGGCCTGGCCCAAACCTGGTGGTGCAGGGCTTGGGAATTTGGCTGCAGGGGACAAGGGTGGCAGTATTAATTGCCACCACTCCCCTACCACCAAATTTCCAGGCCCATGAGGAGTTCTGTGGGCTGAATTCCATGGATGCATGGGACAGATTTGGCCTGTGGGCCAGGGGTTGTGCACCCCTGCCATAAACCAATAAATTGTCATAAACCAATTTATTCGTTTATAATAAATATAAATAAACAAAATCAAAATCATTTATTGTAAACCAATTAATACAGAAAATAGTATTTCAACTAAATCATAGGGTAATTTTAAAAATTCTGCCCAAGATAGGCATAGTAATGATTTAGCAGTGCGGCCTGGAAAAGAGGAGGTTTAAGAGAACTATGAGAATCTGAATCTATTCCAAACGTGACTAAATAAGCAATTACCTGGCAACAAAAGAAACAGAAAAGAAGACTGCTGCAAAATACCCGATGCCAATCAGCTTATAATACAAAAAAAGATAACACTGTATATCTATGGTACCACTATATAAAAAAATCCAAAAGGATTTTTGGATGCCCTAGCATTAGCACTGATAACATTTTACCCATAATTTATTAGGCTGAAAGGAATAAAATGGATGACGGTGATGGCAGATCACAAGATTATTCCATACTGACCCAACTCACTCTGAGAACTCTTATGGCTATACCAATCTGATCTCATTTTTAAGACAGAAAGCCTTCAGCTAGTCATGTTTTCAAAAACTATAAGGATATATGGAATAAAAGCTGAATAGCCCCATCAACATACTATGGTTTTAGATTTCTCTGCAACTATGGAATGGGAACAAAAGTTTGTTTTGAAGGATTTCATGAACTTTTCTAATATATATTATGGATTCAAAAACATTTTAAAGCCTAATTTACCACTACACTTATTTGAATGTACAAGCATGAAAGGTAAAGTTATTGTTTGTTATTTCTGTATATGTACTTATACACACATACATACTCAGAAATATGCATAATTTATTTATCTGACTTTTGGCACAGTTGATAAAAATCATAGAGAATCAAAACCTAAGCCATCTTTAGTAGGATTTCTCTTGAAAAGAGGTCCTCAATGGAGATTTTCTGAACCCTTCCTTTTGCCAGGATGCCTAAATCTAGGCACCTCTGAGCCTAATCACCATATTTAAAAAACAAAAAAAAAAACAAAAAAAACCCACCCCCAAAATCAAGTTAAGTTTAATTTATCTTTCGTAAACTAAGACTACATAAAGCCAAAGAAACAGTTTATTTTGCTTTGAATTGTTGAACTGCTTAAATAATTATAAGGGCATAAGGTTGTAGCCATGTTAGTCTAAGGACATTTTTCCAACTATTTGAGTTGGTCTAATAAAAGAGAGCATATTTCCCCAAAGCTGCCTATGTCCTTAGGCCAACACAGCTACAACCTATACCCCTGTAACATGGAAGATATCGAATTTTGCTATTTGAAAAGAGCACACACACCAACTGCAGATGCTTCCTCAGCCCAACGAAAAGTATTTATACCCAAAAGCTTGCAAAGAAGGATTTTTCCAACTATTTGAGTTGGTCTAATAAAAGATATCAGATTCACCCAAAGCTGCCTAAATAATTATAATGTTTTTAAGCAACATATGCTCTACAGTTTAACCAGTTAATTGGCTCTAGGCTAAGTAGTTTAACTCAGTGGTTTTCAACCTATTTTTTATTTGTGGGCCCCTAAAAAATTTTGAATGAAGGTGTGGACCAGGCAGATTGGTGGGGCAGGTGGAGCAGCACATAGGAGCAGGGGGGAGAGGGGAGGTTGCAGTCTCCCCGCTCCCAGCCGGAGTGTCCAGCCAGCTGCAAATCCCCGCCCACAGCCCCCCATGTGATGCTCCACCTGCCCCACCAGTCTGAGTTCACCAGCCACCGGCCGGGTGCTCCAGCCAGTAGCAGGGAGGCTGCAAGCCCCCCGCTCCCAGCTTGCTGCAACTCCCTCATCCCACTGCTGGCTTACTGAACCCACCCCCCCCATGCTCCCTTGCTCCACCGTCCCACCAGTCTGAGTTCACCAGCCACACCTGGTGTGGACCCCTTTGAATTGTAAGCATGGGCATTCACATACTTTTGATTGATCTTAGTAGTCTTTTCACAGACCACCCCCCCACCCTGAGACACTATCTGTGGACCCCCTGGGGTCTGTGGACTACGGGTTGAAAACCACTTGTTTAATTTATTTAAGCCTTCTAAACCTTTAAAGTGTTTTCCAAACTTCACTGGTTCATGTACCACCTTCTTTTAAAAATGGTATTTGAAGTATCACATGCAAATATTATGTTTTTGTGCAAATATCATTTTATGCCTTTCTAGAATGAATGCAAATATTTCCAATAAGTGTCTAGAGAAGCTTTAACTGTTCTATTACAGTATCCTTTTTAATGTCTTTAGTTTTTGTGCTGCTTTTTGATTTGTTGTCCACAATGACAGCCAACCTGGCTGTCGCAGGCAGGTCTTGCCTCACCAACCTCATCTCCTTCTATGACCAGATAAACTTGCCACCTGGACACAAGAGAGCAGGTTGACATTGTATACATTGACTCCCAAAAGGCCTTTGATCTAGTCTCCCACAATGTCCTTGCAAGAAAATTGGAGGATTGTGGGCTTAACTCCAAGACAGCCAGGTGGGTGAGAAACTGGCTGCAGGATAGAACCCAGAGAGTCATAGTGAACAGATCTGTGGCATCCTGGCAAGAAGTGGGCAGCAGTGTCCCACAGGGGCCGGTACTTGGTCCAGTACTTTTCAACATCTTTATTAATGATTTGGATGTGGGGGTGAAGAGTTCACTGGCCAAGTTCACAGATGACACTGAGTTAGTGGGGAGTGTGGGGATGCTGATACATGTGACACTCAGGTGCTTTTAATTAGCATGCTCCACCTTAGGACAAGCAACCCCCAACACACTTACAGGCTTGGCAGCACCAAACTGACTAGCACTATGAATGAAAGAGACCTGGGGGTAATAACAGACCACAGTCTGAATATGAGCTGGCAGTGCAATATTGTAGCCAAGTAGGGCGAATAATACTCTGGCTTCCATCAATTGATGCATCTCCAGCAAAGCCAAGGAGGCAATTCTTCCGCTCTATTCAGCACTGGTGATACCGGAGCTAGAGTACTGCATCCAGTTCTGGGCGCCACACTTTAACAAGGACGTGGACAAGCTTGAGAGAGTCCAAAGAAGAGCCACCCGTATGATCAGAGTCCTAAAAGGCAAGCCATATGAGGAAAGTCTGAGGGATCTGGGACTCTTCAGCCTGAGGAAAAGAAGGCTGAGAGGGGATCTGGTAGCAGCTTACCGCTACACTAGGGGAGTACATCAAGGGCTCGGTGAACAACTGTTCACCAGGGCACCCTTGGGGGAAAACCGGGAGTAATGGCCACAAACTCCTGGAAGATTGATTCAGGCTCAACATTAGGAAAAACTTCTTCACAGCCAGAGTGTCCAGACTGTGGAATCAGCTCCCTGCAGTGGTGATGCAGTCACCTACCCTGGAGATCTTCAAGAGGAGACTGGGCAGTCACCTGACCCCAGGTGTCTTTCCTGCTTTGTGCAGGGGGCTGAACCTGATGATCTTCTGAGGTCCCTTCCGGCCTTACAATCTATGAATTTATGTGAAGCAACCATTATTATTATTCTTGTGTTTGCCTTTTATGTATTACTCAGATTGTAAGAAGCAAATACAAAATAAATGAAATTCAATATATCTTGATATGCTTCTGAACTATAACAATGGCTTGACTTCTTAAAATTTCTAATTCAGTTTAAAGTGAAAAATTATAAAGAATAGTAATGAAAAGTAGGTACTTACTTCTAGGCACATACCTGCCTGTCATGTGAGATAGCTTCTGTTGAAGGTCTGCTTCTGCACTGCAGTTCAACCTGCATTTATTTTTAGCAATGGCTAGAGCACAAAAAACAGCTTCTCAGAGATTGGTAACGATGGTGAAAAAATCTGTCAATTGTCTCAGTCAATGTCATGCTAAACTTCTCTGCCCTTCTCAAACAAAAGTTGCAAAAAGTGCACTTTGTTAAAGCTGCATGTGAGTCTACCATCACATGACAATTAAACCAACTCTTCTGTTTTCTTTGCTTAGAAGCCATCTGGCAGAGTGTCATCTTCTACTGAAAACAGCTGCTTGCTCCAATTTCTCATTTGTTATGCTGTCTAAAAAGTAGTCACTAAATGTGCTGACCAAATTCAGGTAATGGTCTCTTATGTCAGCAATAAAGTCAGACTGAATTTCAATTATTTTTTCAATGTGGAAGTTTTCCAGTGTTGGAAGGATTGCCAGTTTTCCTTCTCTCTTTCCCACTCTGAAACTTCATTTTTTATCATTGTCCTTGTCTTGTCATTATAATTTACAGCTATAATTTGCAGTCTCTGTAAAACAGCATGCAGTTAATTGAGATGTGTTAAAAGGCTACAATTAACACTACAGCTTGTCCACAAATCAATTAGCACATTTATAACTAAAACCATTGAAGAAAAAACTTGTACCTGACAATGGAGTTCAAATATTTAAGTCAATTCCTTCCCAAGTGACAGCTATAACACATAAGTAAGGCAAAGAAACTTCTGGTACTTCACTGAACAAGTTTAGTATTTGTGCTCAAATACAACTGGCTACCTTTACAATATAATCAAGACAGACTTTTAGATTACCAATATTTTAACACTGAGTGATGAATACTGCAGTGAGGAAACTTAGCTTTAGGATCCACTTGAATTTTTACCATACTTCCTTGTCATGCCTCAAGTAGATATAGATGTAGTTCTACCACTCCACACATTTTTCTGTGATAAACTTAGTTTGTTAAAAACATATTTTGCTGATGATAGGTTCACAGAACAAGACATTTTCCTTCCTTCTAATTCAGACTGCACCATTCATAAACTAAGCTTAACTGCTGATGTTGTTATTTTGTCTAAATGAGAAAAACATGACTTACTTGACATGATTTAGGAGTTGTAGTTTTACTTGAGAAATTGAATATCTCAGTTTTTTCTTCTTAATACAGTTCAAGGTAAAAAATGACATCAAGCTGTTTGCTGCTTTATTCCCATGAACAGATTACACAAAATCTTTTGTAACAGTCAACACAAGAATCCCACCAACTGCATGTACTCAGCCTTACGTGGTATGACACTTCAAGAGCTTCACATTAGTGCCTTGAGAGATGTCACTGTTTTGTAGTTGTCTTGAAATTCACTTACCTTCCTCCTTTTTTTCAAGAAAAAAGGGTTGTCTTTCAGAGAACTGTGCTTTGTACTGAGGTTATGCTGAAGTAGGCAAGATTTCACTGAATGATTGGATAACAGTTCATGACCTGAGGCACTGGTTTACTTCGCCCCTCAAAATAAACTCAAGTGATTAGTAGCGAGGATCATACCTTCTAAGTCTTGCACTGTTTATTGCTTGCAGCAGGAAGCCTACCAGCTGTGCCTGAAATCACTTAAGTTTTTTCACTGAGAAGTTTTTCCTAATTCACACTATTACCTGTCTCATCAACAGGCCTTAGCTGTGCTTCTGTGTTTTCTGAAGCTACAGTTAGTTAGCCACTTATTCATGGTTCATAGATTCACTGATAATAAAACAAGAGGAATCAGTATTGCTCATTTATAAATATATATTTGACCTAGTTGATTTTGCTAAAACCTAGTGGAATGATTCACACTATTAGATTGTTAAAAATAATGGTTACATCCTATTTGGGAAAGCATGAGTGGGCAAAAGGGAAGGGAAGCAGCACTCTATCACAAAAATGCCATTACCTGTTTCCAAAGTCACTTATTACTCAGAAGCAAAGGATCTTCTTGCATGTTTATGGATCAATGTCTTAACAGATAGAGCAGAAGATGAGGTAAGAGCTGATGTCTGCTGCCAACGATCAAAGCACATTAGAGAACCAAATGACTAATTTCTTAAGCACCTGTTATAAGGCATAAGGAAAAAAATGTGTAATCATGGGGGACTTTATACTGAGTAACATATGCTGAAAGTCTTATCTACCAATAAAAAGTACATTAGAATTAATAAAATTTATACAGGTCAGTTTTATAAACTCAAAAACCATTTCATTTGACATAGAAATTTATATTAGATAAAGAGAAACTGATTATTGAACTAGAAATTAGTGGTAGCTTATATCTTACAAGCAATCATAACTTGATCACATTTGTTGTGTGCCAATACAATAATGTTCAAAACAGTAATATTCATACCTAATGCTTTAAAAGGATCCGTATCACAAAGCTATAAACAATGACACAAGTAAGTTGGAAGAAACAATTTAATCAGAACGTGAAACACAGTTTGAAATTATTAAAAAGATTTTAGTAGGAGTCCAAAAAGTAACAATTCCACAATTGAATAAGAAGACTGCATTCAAATTGAATTAAAGGGGAAGTGAAGGCAGCTATTAAAAATAAGAAAACCGTATATAATAAATGGAAGAGGGGCAAAATTGATGGTAATGAATATAGGAGACTGACGAGGGAATTGCCATGATTGTCTTCTATGATTGTCTTATCTGTGTGTCTGAAGATAGCTTATGAAGTCTACCTGGAATCGACAGACTTGCCATTCCACTGGAAACTTAGGCAGATGCTTATAGAAAACCTTGTGTCAAACCAACTTCATACTTTTTATGATAAGATTTTTTGGTTTATAAAGATAGCTGCATTGATGTGGTATTCTTAAACTGCTCTCAGGCTTTTGATAAAAGTAACTAATATAATACTTTTGATGGAATTTTCTAAGATTTCTGTAAAATATTCACATACTGCTTCATAATACTTGATTAAGAAAATGGAAAATGAACATGCAATTATAATAATTGGATACATTTTGGTTCTTTTGATAAGAGTCAAAATGTAACTGTAATCATTGAATCATCATTAAACAGGTGAATTTCTATTGGGGTCCCACAGTGATGGGTTCTTCACCCTATTTCTTAACATTTTTACAATCACATAAAATCATCACTGATAATTTTGCAGATAACAGAAATTGGGGGAATGATAACTAATTAATAGGGCAAAGGAGTACTGAGCCATCTGAATGTTGACCAGCTAGGTGCAAGAAAAATTATGAGGTTTAATACGGACAAATATAGAGCCATATATTTATATATGACTGAAGCAGCAAACCTACCATCTTTACTCAAATTCAAGAAGAGTTGTTCCCTCCCATTCAACTTAGGGGAAAAGGCCCCTCATCTTGGATTCAGGTACACAGTGGGGTGGGGAGAGGCAGGTGCTGCAGCTTTGACTCTGGCCCCAAGCTCGGGTTGGGACTAGAACCAGAGCTGCAGCAGCTACATGCAGCCAGGCTGCTGTGGGGGTAGAGGCTGCAGGAGTCATGTGGCAAGGGGTGCAGGCACTGTGGAAGTGCAGGCTGCAAGGAAACAAGTGAGAGGGCTGGGGATAAGGGGAATGCCTACCCCCCAGCTGCCTGCCCCTCCCCACCGCATGTCCCCTTGCTGCTGCTTTCCCTTCTGTACCAGTTGAGGGGGATAAATTTAAGACTACCCTCTGATAATTAGATTATATACATGGAAAGTTATAACAAATTTATACATTTTCCATATCTAGATTCTAATCACTGGGGGGGCATTTTAAATTCAAAGTTGTCCTGGAGTCAGGCAAATACAGTATTTACAGGATAAGAGAATCAATGCTGGAAAACAGTGACTCTTCAAAAGCCTTGGGGATCAGGACAGGTAATCAGCTTATGACCTCCCAGTCAACACTGGCTAAAAGGGCTAATGCAATCCTTCAATGTATATACAAGAGTATCACAAGTAGGAGTAGGGAATTTATATCAATTCTGCTTTTTGCATTGGTGTGACTATTACTAAAACGCTTTGTCCAGTTCTGGTGTCCAGAATTCAAGAAGGACAGTGATCAATTGAAGAATCAAGGAGGAGGCCATGAGAATGATAGCCTTGTAGTATAAGATTCAAAGAAGCTCAGTCTATTTTATTAAAGAGAAAGTAAAGAAGAGAAAGTACTTTTAGAGAAAATAAAGTAATTTGTTCACAGTGTTTAAGTAACTGCCTAGGAAATAAAACTCTGAGAATACGCTACTGAATTTAGAATACAAAAGTATAAGTTCCAGAGGTTAGAAGTTGTGGATAAGGCATACATTTTTAGCACTAAGAATACTGGAACAGTTTCAGCCAGAGGTTGTACTGAATCCTTTATCACTGGCTATTTTTAAATCATTATTGATTTTTTCCCCCTAAAAGATATGTTCTAAATCAAATAGGAATCAACTGCCTGTTCTAAAGAAGAGGTCAGACAATAGGATCAGAATGATCCCTTCTGATTCTGTAATCTATGGAATCAATCAATTATACTGATTTCAATAGGATTTACCCATAAAAGGGTGTCAGTAATATTTGAGAAGGTCTGAGGTTTTGACCTCCTTATTCAGTGATATATATGAGTGAATTGGTTGAACCACATTGGATCAATAGGGTTAAAAAAGCAAACATTCCTACATAAAATCTAATTAAATCTGCATTTTTTTTCTGTTTGTTAATTTTTATTTCATTTTATTGCATTTGATGGGGCATGGAAAATGAAACAAATCAGTCAGTTTCAATGTAATTTCCAGGCTGTTTCCATGTTCTTGTTCTCAGTAGAGGGCTGTTGTATTTGATTTAATATACAATAAGAAAATATTAAAATGAAATAAATTTATTGCTGACAATATGTACACAAAATCTCCCCTGTTATAATTGGATTATTTAACCATGCCCTTTCTTTCTTTCATATAAATTTAGGGGCCTAAACAGAAAAGCAGCATGTTCACAAATCCAGGAACTTTTTAGCCGAATTAAAGCTAGGTCCACAAATTAGATCTTGCCATATAGAAGTCTTCATGAATTTTTTGGGTCATGATTCCACTTCACTCAGATAATCTTTTCAAGTACCAATACACTGTACCATTACAATTAACAAATAAGGAAGAAAGCTCCAGATATGTTAGAGAGCTACCTAGCAGCTTGTTAGAGAGCTCCTAGCAAGTGGATTCAGAAACAGTATGTTTTATCTCTAAGGCAGAAAGATTTTCTCTTAGTCATCCTGTTTGATTAATTTGCAATTTATTAATGGATTGGACACAATATGGAGCTCCATACAAGTTAGGGACCTACGTTAGAAGACGTTATTTCTGGAAAAGAAACATATGATTCAGCAGGTTTTGTTAAAAAGGTTTCACATAATTGCATTTCTTACAGAATCTAGAGATTCAATCTGTCCAGGTCTATTGCACCAGCTTGGATAAGTGCATCAATCCAAAAGCATTAATTCTTGATTTAATAAAGATGTCTAGTGAGCAGTTTCTGCTAAGGGTGCTATTTAGAAGTGTTTGTATAGGCAGTGGATAATAAAATAAAAGATCTCTATCACAGCTGAGGTTCTGAAGTGATAAAACAAGCAAAATTGTGCCCAGGGTTGGATCAAGGATTCTGCAAAGGGGAGTGCAAGAGCAGTGACCAGTGTTGCAGGGGTCATCTCCTCCCCGTGCTGAAAAATGGTGGCGGGGTGCTTTGAACCTAAGCTCGTCGGACATTTATTCAGTGTGGGGATGCCGATACATGTGACACTCAGGTGCTTTTAATTAGCATGACTTGCTAATTAAAGCACCCCCCACACTTCCTGGAGAACATCTATAAATGTCCTAAGAGCTGCCATTTTCCAAGGGGTGACTCAAGTCTATCCAGAGATGCCTCGATTCTAAAAAAGTTGAGAACTACTGTTCTGGAGGGTAGGGCCAGGATCCAAAATGGCTTGGATAGGCTGGAAAAGTGGTCTTCAATCAAGCAAATGATATTCAGCAAAGACAAGTGCCAAGTCCCGCACTTGGGACGGAATAACCGCATGCATAAATACAGACTGGGAAATGACTGACTAGGCTGCAGTGCTGCAGAGAAGGACTTGGGATGACACAGAACAAGTGTGTTTTTGTTGCAAACAAGGCCAACGGCATACTGGGTTGTATTAACAGGACTATCACTTGCAAATCAAAGGAAGCTATTCTTCCACTCTGTTCTATTCTAGTGAGGACTCACCTCGAGTACTGTGTCTGGCTTTCGGCGCCACACTTCAAGAACAAATTTACTATCTGGCACCTGGAATTTACTATCTGGTGCACAGTGGTGAAAGCAAGCCGTAAGGCAAAAGTCCTTGACTTCAGGAGGGCCAACTTCAATGAGACAAAGAGATTAGTAAGAGAGACATTGGGGACTCGGAGCCTCAATGAGATGGGAGTCCAGGATGGGTGGTTGTTAGTTAAGGAAATGATCCTCTGAGCTCAGAGGGAGTCAGTCCCAACACAAACCAAA